ATTGCAAATTAAATACTAGAGAGGGAGTTGCTGGCCCCTGAAAACGCTGGAAACGCGGGAATCACAGAAAGCGACTACGTAAGCATATGTAACGTAGGATCAAGTAGACCTTTGTACTCGTATTATTTTTGTGTTAAATTTGTTATCTTAACTGTATTATCGTGTCAAATCGATTATTTAATGGGTTCTTAACAGGTAATATGATAACAAACCGATTTATTTACAGTTTGTTTTGTTTCGTTTCAAGTTAACAAGAAAGAAATTGTCATGTTTAATGTCTAAATCTGACAAATGATATCTTATGGAGTTTATAACCAGTGATTCGGTAGCAATCCACCTTGGTAATGGTTTGACACAAAACTTATGATTTTCGTATCATTTTGTGTTGAGTATACAAATTGTGTAAAAAATTGTCAGACATGCGATAAAAGAATGCACGCACTCCGTCGGTCACACCCCGTCAACGACTTTTATAACGAAATATGGTAGTGCACTAGGCAAATTTGGTTACACCGTCAAAACTTAATATTGGTCTTATTAGGTTGATCTTGATTTGGTCTACGTAGATATGGCTAGCTAGCTAGCTTCTTCTTCATCTTATCCATTTGATTTAGTAATTCTATGATTAATCATATGTTGGTTTACTAGGTAGGAATCTTGAAATAAAAGGAAGACATTTATCAATTAGTATTTTGAAAATATGTCTTTTATTTTTTTTAACAAACGATATTATCTATATTAAGAGGGTGGGAGAGTGAGTTAAACCTCACAATGGACTAGCAATAATATGGTTCAAGCTCACCTTTAGCGAAAATCGAAGCTGAAACCTCTCAATTACCAGTGAAGAGATTACTAGACCGTAATACTAAGTGACTGTTTTATTTAATTAATTGAATGAAAATTCAACAATTAATTAACTAAAACTTAAAGCTAAGAGCTTTGATAACAAGAAAATTAAAAGTTTAGAGCATATATAACGAGGTTCAGTTAAGCTTAGCTTTCCTCTTATACCCTATAACTTTTATTAAGTATAACTAGACATTTATTTATATTCATAAATAATTTATTTAGAATTAAAAAACACCACTTAAGCTTCTGTCTAATTCTCGTCTAAGCGCTTGACCATGTCTGCCGCTTAACACCTTTTAGAATCTTGCCTTCAACTATTTTGTAATCCTTCTACTCTTAATACAACATTATATCTTCTCAGGTTCTCTGAATTGAGGTTATCCCAACGAAGGTGGATTGTCTGCCCTCCCATTTCCGTACTCTTCTCATCCATTCATGTTTGTGTGGTCACGATTAAACCACGTCAACATTTTATATTGATTTTTTTATAAAAATAATAAAACAAAAAGTAATAAAAATATAAAATATTAGCATGATTTAACCGTGATCACACAAAATATGAAAGAATTAAAAAAATATGAAAATGAGAAGGCAGACAATCCACCTTCTATCCCAACTCCATGGATTAATTAATTGAATTGGAAATGAATATCTTTATATATAGTCAGTGCAGATAGGCCTTCTAATCGGCCAACCCATAAGAGTTACGCTCTTCCCTAGATTGGAGTGCATCTCTCAAATCCATAAAGATTCGACTGTATTTGCATCGGGCAAAACCACCGTTATGTTCCTTTCTTTTGTCTCAAAGCCGTACTATGTATTATATTCTCAAGCGTAAATCACTAGATAGAATAAAATTCTCTTTACGCGTTTTAAGGATTGTTTTTTTAGTACAACGATAATGTTAATATGTTAGATAATTAGTTGTTAGGAAAAAGAAAAATTGGTGGAAGTCAAACCCATCAGAATGCATAGACATGATTGTGTTATTACAATATAATTTACATACATACATAAAATATAAATTATGAATTGCTAATTAAAAAATTATTTAAAATGTAGAGCATATTAACATGCAAGAAATGAAAATTGAAATTTTTTTGGTCAAACAATAGATTAAATTAGGGAACAAGGTTCGATCTCACTCCATGATGTAAGAGTAATATTTTTCTACCATTATTATAGAGGGCTACTTGCAAATTAAAATTACTTTGATTATTGAGTTTTTAGCAGAGGGGATTAAGCTAGGTGGGTAGGTAGTGTTTCCACCGTCTTATATTCAAATTAAAAAAACAGTAATTATAAGTTAGTGTAATTAAAAAAAAAACATATTTGAGTTAAAAGAAAAAAAAAATAGCAAATGGTGGGTTACTCTAATTAAATAAGACATTTATCTTTAATTCCTTGCGTTTCGAATTCAAATTCAAATTTTCTTTTCTGTACGAAATAGACAAAATCAGATTATGATCGACATGTTTGCTTTACTTTTTAACTAATTTATTGTATTTTGTTTTGTTTTAACAAATGATAGTATCTACATTAAGAAGGTGTGAGAGTAAATTAAGCTTTACAATAGACGAGTCATAATAATGTAACAATATCATTCGACTGTAGTACAATTAATTTATTGTACTTATATTCGCAACAATGGAAGAATACCAAATTGTACTTAACAAGATGAAGACGATGATGAGGCTCTTAGTGTGATTGTTTTGTCCACAAGCAATAGTAATAAACTTCAAATTAATAAGGAAAACTTGGACCGCGACCGTCATGTACTAGTTTCTTTGTTAAGAGCTACGGCTGCCTAACACATTAGACTCATGAGATCTGACCTAACATTGACTTGTGTTCACTAATTTCTTTATATCCTTTAATCCAAGTTTCATATTTCAATTTTTAAGTTAGCCATTAATTTAAAACTTGTTTAGATGTATTTTAAAATGATTGAAAGAGTTTTTGGTGAAAATATTTTTAGAACTAATCTTTAGTAAAGATGTAAGTAAATCTTGGAAAAACACTTAAAGTGCTTCCTGGAAGAAGTACATAACTGATGTTTCTTGCAGAAAACACTATAAGTGCTTTTGGATCCAAAATTTTTTTTCCTCTAAAAGTGCTTTCAGTCATTTTAAAATCACATCCAAATGAGTCCTAAATCTGTCAATGAATATACATATATAGGATTCGGTAAAAAAAATATACATATATTGGAGGCCTTTAAGGGAAGGGATTTTCATTAGTTGTGGAGCCCACACCGCATCGAACTTCAAAGATTAGAGTCGTCTATTTTTTCAAGTTTCACCTCTTAGTCATCCTTGCAAAATATTAGCCAACTTGAAAATATTTGAGGCATATAATTGAGTTCAAAGAACTTGACGAAAACTTTGTTCTATAAAAAACAATGAAATTTCATTGTCATAATTAAATAGGCAAATGGTTCAATTGAATTGAATTTTTGCATGGACGATCATGAATCGAGACTTATAAAATAAACGATTTGGATCGTTGAAGTTTGTTATAGGATGGATCTCACAACTAATCTCCAGTTTTTCAAAAAAAAAAAAGAAACGAGGATATATGTATATTTTGTGAACATATATATGAACTATGCAGGCGCGCAAAGAATAAAAAGGTTAATGAAAACATATATATGGATTCCAGCCAAACATTGAATGAATTACAAGTATCTCTCAGTCTCGGTGGATTTGGAATGGAAAGTAAAGTCAATTCCGGCAAACTGATGCATCCCATGCCATGGAGTTTGGGTGCCAACTGCACTCGCAGCCGGCAGCCCACTGGTAATCTGGTAAGGCTATTTCTTTCTTCCCTCTTTCTGTGGATTTAGAGTTGAAAATTTTCTCTCATGTTGAAATCTTCAAACAAATTGTATTTTCTTTGGTTTCTGATGTTTGAATACTGACAATCACTTAGAAATTACATGTGGCATGTTAATTCAAAGTGCTTTTTTTTTTTATATTAGCTTTAATGGAAATTTAAACTTACGTGATTAGTTTGTGAATACGGAACAAGGTCACGTCACATTACTATTTAACCAGAATTATAAAACTTACATTTGTTTTCATTAAACACCCTAGAAGTGGGACCCTTAATATAATCATATCTAGAATGAGGATTCTCTCCGGATCCTCTTTGTGAGGATCTCAGGAATCTTCAAATCGTGTCCGTTCATCGTACATCGTGCAGTCATAAATCATTTTAAATATTTTTATTTAAAATCAAACTTGAATAATATCTAATGAAAAATGACCATAAGATATACGATCAACGGATACAATTTAAGAATCCGCGGAATCCTCACAAATAGGATCCGGAGAGGATCCTCATTCTCATATCCAAACCAATCATTTGTAAAAAAAAAGAGACCCAACTGCGTATACAAGGTATATTAGTGGTTTTCAAAAGCTAATCAATCAGTAAGATAATAAGACAGATCACTCGTTTGGTTTTTTTTTTCTTTTTTTTTTAATTTTAAATTTTTATAAAAATAGGACTAGCTGATAGCTTTGTTACGTTAATCCACTATTTCGAGGGCCTAGAAGACTCACAGAGGCATTTCAGCATTCCTTGACCACTATCGTGCATTCACAAGCGTAAAAAATTGAACACAAGACATGCCGCGCGGTATACAAACCTGCAGTTCGTCCCCAACCACTGAACCACCCGTGATGGTTGCTCACTCATTTGGTTTCACGCAACACTAGTTCACAAGATAACCATTGATAATTCTTTGAGGTCATCCTTCAAATATATCTCTACAAAAATTCACTCCAATTGAAAAAGTGTATCTAATTGTAACTGACATGCACAATATTGTGGATAAACAATAAAATGTTCATGACAATAATCAAATGACAAAACAACTTCAATTTGGATGAGAATTTGTAAAATTAATCTTTGAATGAAGACTGTTTACACACGAGATTAAATTATAAAAACTTCCCATAAACATTTTTTTTTTGTCAAACGATATATTTGTTAGATTAGAGAGTTGATGAGGTTTGAACTCACGCTGTGATCCAAGGACAACACTTCTCTCCACCACTGTGCTAAAGGCCACTTGCTTTCATAAACAAATGCATAACGCCTTATTAACAAGTTAGTTCTTCCAGCACTGTATCTAACACCTGATCTTTCCAATCAAACTTGAATTTTCCATTAATATTCTGATAAGGGTAACAAAACAAACTGAAACAGAAAAGGAAAAACAGTTCCGTGATAGTGTTTTGAACTAATATATTTACTTCCAATGTGAGGAGCGGAAAATGACACTAACAAACAAAACTAGGAAGGCCTCCACTCCGGAGGACTATGCCTAAGCTCTTTAGCAAGACCATCAAGCTACAGCCACCCAGCACTCCCTGGCTTTTGGAGGAAACAACAGGTGCTAGATCAATTTAACAACTGAGGCTAACTGATACTCTATCCTGTAGCGAAAATTACGAAAAAAAAACCAGCGCATAATATACAGCTAAATTACCAGTTTAGGCGCCAATCAGCTCGCAGACATCACAGTTTGGGTAAACCGAAACAACTAAGTTGACTAAATATGAACAGCGATCTCATGGGTTCACCGGATAAGCAAAATCGTAGCTTAAAACATCAATAGAAGGTAATGCCATAAAAAAAAAAATAGGAGTATTTCGGTAAAAATTGTTTCTATTTCTTTTTTGGCTCAACAAAATGGTCATCAACTGATTTCTGTAGACTGATTGCTAGACAAAACTGTGAACCCAAATTGCTACACCCCTAGCAGCCATCAACTGGGTGCAGCTATGCAGTGAAAGTGATTTATATGCACTGACATTTTATTGAAATGACACTGCTGTTGCAAAAAAATTTACTTTGAAGATCTTACTGATAAATATTTGACTATTGAGCGGCAGTATAACAGTGCCATTTTCCTGAACTCAGTTGAACACGTCACCAGACGAAATACTTCCTTCTATAAACTTGACCTTGGCGTTAGCATATGAACGTCGTCAAGAATCCTTCTCAGCAAACTGCTTGCCCTGAAAGATTTCAAAGAGGCGTAAATATTTCTTTGCACAAAGCTCAGTAAAGGATACAAATGAGCAACCAGGTTAGTGAATGTGTGCAATGCAACCAAGTTTACCATACGGAACCTTCTTCAAATTTACAAGGAATTCTCTTCGGTATCCAAACTGTTGGGACTTTTGAGTTCCAGCATTTACAAATAACTACTTATTAAGTCAGCCCTGTCAAACAATTGTCCAACTGGGGAGATAAAGGTAGATGACATCGGAAGCAGGAGATTTGAGTCTCAAATTTATTATGAAAAGAGAAATATTGGGAAATCTGAGGGTGTTGAAATACGTGAGAGATGGAAATGAGATGTACAATGAACCTAATTTGGCAAGATTCACTTATGTGATGCATAAGTAGAAACAAAGAGGATTTCTCGCTTCCATAAGTTTGAATAGCTCCCACTAAATTTGTTAAAAGAGGTCTGGAATTATTCACTTCCCTTCTGTTTCCATCCATGAAGCAAACAGGGTAGAAATACTACATCAGACAATCCCAAAAAAACACCGAGTCATACAACTAGCTCACTCATAAGCCACTGACTCAGTAAGTTATATTGGAAAGCGGATCAAACCGTGATGAAGATCTTTTGTAATGTAAAACAAATACTACTAATGACCTTACCTTACCAAAATTGCAAAATTTACTGCCACTGTGGTCCGTTGGCATGGAACAGAAAGCCTCATAAATTAGAAGAGTTCCAGCTGGCATACACGGCATCAATGATTTTCTCATGCAGTGTTGCCCCAGAACAAACAACTATGCCCCTGTCAAGTCCTTCTAAGTAAGGTCCTTTTGAAAAGTCCAGGGGACGCCCTCCAGCATCAGTTACGACACCTCCGGCCTCTTCTACAATGACAACACCAGCAGCGTGATCCCATATCTTCTCCTTGTATCCAGTCCTTGCAAACTTCATGAATAGCTCAGCATCTCCTCGAGCTATGGCTGCATATTTCACCATGCTATAGACACGGAGGGGTTGATTTCTACCAATATGATATGAAAGGAAAATATCAATTAGAGCACAAGTAAAACTATAGTTGCCAATATCTTCCTACCCCAGTAAAAAAGACATGCGAGGTGGCAAGGTGGCTTTGAGATTCACATCATTTGCCAACCAGAGAAAGATAAGAAACTCATTGGAGAAGGTACAATTGATTACAACAAAAAGAAAAAAATTAGGATACTTTCTGGTAAACTCATTTTTAACCTTAATTGACCATCAATCACATTGCCTTGTACTTGAAAAAAAAAAAACATATCATTAAGCAATTGCCTTGAAGAAAAGCAGGGTAACTGTTAAAAAATTCCAAATAACAGACAATAGACATACTTGTTAATATAATCTCTTCTCTCTATCTAATTTCTCAGAACTTGAAACAGAGGACCAAGAGACAGAAGAAACAAACAACAGCAGGACAACAACCTAGGCAATACTTGTGACGGAAAATCACTCATATCATTAAACACTGTGCTAGGTTTTTATAAAGCATTGTCGTCAAACTGGAAATATCTTTTTATTTCACCTCTTATATGTAATAAAAAAGAAACTAGAAAAGGGAAGTGCTCCTCTACTTAATAACTCATTTCACTCTTCTATTTGCAGTTTTCTCCTCCCATTACTCTTTGCCTTGTTCATTATGTGCCGGTTTCATTTGTTAGACTGACAACCATGCACGCTGATGTATAGAAATAATTAAGTAACTATGTACCTAAGCCCTACGCTGTGAGCAAGTCCTGCTGTGAAGGAGTGGTCTGAATTTGCTTTCTCGACAGGTTCACAACTAGTGGCCAGTGAGGGGTCATCGATGGAAGAAACCCGAACAAGTCTTGCAGAATTCGGCCACACAAACTTCTTATCCCCACGGATTGGTGGCTGCATCCATGCCTCACCACTGCCTCTCCTCGCATACATCACACAACCTCTTTCCCACATATCGTCAGAAGGTGGAGACAACCTTGACATGTTTTCATGGTACTGATAATGATAACTGAGCAATTCCTTCTTCATTGGGTAATTAGGGCACCCAAGTACTCCAATAACAACCTTCCCATCCTCAATCAATGCTAAAGCTACAGCATATTGATCCCCACGCACAAACCCTAATGTTCCGTCAATAGGATCAAGTACCCAATGTCTACCTTTGGGGCCTCCCTCTGAGTTGCATCGGCTGATAGCCTCAAGAACTTGAGCAGTGTTGAGGGATTTTGGTGGACTTTTAAGACCATACTTGGGTGCTCCAGCTAAGCACTCATTAACAGTGTTTACAACAGCTTCCAGCAAACCCGCTGAGTCAGCCTGAGAGAGCGTTTGTACATCTTCTTCAGCAATAACGGATACATTTTGACTCCCAAAGAACTCAGACAGTATCCAGCTAACGGTTGCTTGCACACTCCAATCTGTTCACTCACAATGTCAATGGAATTAGCCAAAGTTTATATGATATACAAAGAGGAATCAATATGAGTTGGAGAGCCTGATCTTTTCAGTTGCTATAAACATAAAAACTAGATTCTCCAGAAACTGGCTCTTTCCTCTCCAGCTCCAATTGCTTTCATTTTCTGAAAATTTATAATTGAAGAAGAGCACCAAGCAATTTCTAGCATATGAAAGTTCTGGTAAGGATATTAAACCAACTTACGGTAAACAAAGAAAACCCTCATAAAAAAAGGTAAGATAAAACGAAATCCCTTGTTGAAAGCTTACAAATTCTCTAACTAAGATCATAAAATGATGGACATAGACTTCTGTGGCTCATACGTGTAGGTACTGTTTTTTTATTAAGCTTCACAACAATGAAACAGTATTTCAAATTTAATGCAAGACACAAAAGCCACTAAAAGGTGTGCCCCTCCATTTCTATAAAACGATGATATTTGTGTTTTCACATAATGCTCTCACAGGTTCTATAACTTCTACTTGAAAAATGCTCCACTCCCACCCCCATATTCACTTTTAAGACAAATCTCAATGAACCTTTGCATGGATAATTAGCCGACGGAACTCAGGCTCCGTGTATAAAATGTTCTCCATAAAGATCATTCAACAAGAATGGCATACCATCAGACAATACCCCAACAATGTTCATCTGCTGGTCAGTCCCTTTTACTTAAAAAGCACTTACAAAAGAAGATTCTGGTCCCATACGAAGCGAAAAACCTACTCCATAGTGACGAAAGAAAACCTCTGAAGACAATGCACCTAATATCAAGTACCTAAATTCATAAACGGCGTATATTTGTTATCATTTTCAAAAATTAAACTTACATTGTCCATCATAATTTGTTAAGAGTATCCCCTTATCACCTTAACTAAAAGGCAAATCAATTCAAGAACTACTAAGCATACGACCCTGTATTGAGGAACCCAAAGCGATGTATTCATCTAAAAACTATCTATCGAAGGTACTACATTGCACAAGTTTGCCAAAATTAAGGAAACCACAAACAGAAAAACAGCAGAACATTTCTCAAATATAAAACCTCCGATATCAAAGAAAACACAACCAGAGAGCAATGTTTCAATTCATAGTACCTGCGACAGTCACAGGAGAATCATCGTCCTTGGACTTAACGAGGCCACTGCCACCTGACACCAACCCCTCCTGCAGCCTCTGACACAGAGCACACGCCATGTGAACCACTCTCACCGCCACATCCAGCTCCTCACCGTATCTCCCGCCCTCCATACCTCAATCTCAACAACTTCCGACGACACCCAGATGGATTGAATTCACAAACGAGGAGAAAGCATCAATCTTTGAGGTAGTCACCTCGGGATTCGTGCAGATTAAGGTTCCTACATTCTTGGGTTGCTGATTTTTGAGGGGTTTTTATGCAGTGCTTTCTGCTTTGCAATGGCAATGGCGTTCAGCGATGCAGTAACTTTTTGTGCGACTAAAACATTTGGGGATTTTTTATTGGGTTGTGGAATTTCCTCTGGTGGCATTTGTATTTTGTGGGATTTTATGTGTTTGGGTGGAAGGAAAGTTTGGAAGAAAAGCACATGTGGTCAAAACATGTGGTCAAAAAGTTCGTTTTTCAGTGTCCACACTCTGCCGGGTTTAATGTGACCACAGGTGTCCCTGTCGCTAGCTTTATTTCTTTTTCTTTCTTTTGAGTATACGTGGAGAATAGTGTTTGGACAGGCGAGTAACTTGTACAAAATGAGTTAGGTGTTGAAAATATTAACAGTTGAAAATATTAGTAGTTCAAAATATTGACATTGTTATGAATGCCCACACACAGATTTTCAATGTCCACAAATGTAATGTAGACTTTGGAAACAACGTATTGTATTTTCAAAGTTATGTGATGTAAATTTCAAAATGTAATAATGCGAGTTACTCTATAAATATAGCATTCGACTGCAATCAAAACACACAGAAAGAAAGAAAGATCAATAACATCATCTATTCCTCCCTCTTTTATTTGTCATCCCTTACTGCTATAGTTACAGTGTGAAATTTTATCTCTGCTTCGCTCTTGTTACTAGTAAAGGTTATTTCTTTAACTTTTACATATTTATAACACGTTATCAGCACGAGTCTCTAAAACCTAACAATTTCTCATTTCTCTTCGCCGAACGAAAGAAAGGAAAAAATGTTTCCTCTAAGGTTTTTACTATTCATCTTCTTCCTCTGCCTTAACTGCGCGATATACCCTTGCGACGAACTGTTTGCTCCATACCTGCTTCTAGCTCTTAACCTAACAGTTACATATATCTTTGATTTCTTGTTTGGTGTAAATCTTGATTACTAACCCAGTATTTATTTATGTTGATTTACTTGCAATCCAAGATGGTGCGGTATAATTGCCCATCTTGAACTGCAAATTTAATCTTACTGCGATCCAAGATGGTGCGGTATCATCGCCTATCTTGGACTATAGATCTAATTTTACTGCAATTTTAGATGGTACGGTATAATCGCCTACCCTATCCTACAGATTTAAATTTGCCTACTGTTTAATTTCATTACAATTTTAGGTGGTGCGGTATAATCGCCCACCCTGCTATGCGTATTTAAATTTTTCCTGCTACTGGAATGGTGCGGAATAATCGTCCATCCTATGTTATATTATTTCAATGAGAATGGTGCGATACAATCACCCTCCTCATTCATCTTGAAAATCTCGAGCCTGAAGTTTCGAGTGCTTATTGTTTGTACCATACTTGACCAATCCCGAAACTACCGAGCACCGGCCAACGCTATACTGTCAAGGACCCAGAAGAGTTCCCCCTCCGACCAGGAGGCCAATCACTACTCGACACGTGTCAAGATTAGAAGCCAATCAGAGCGCAGCACGTGTCAACATCAAGAACCAATCATAACATGACACATGTCAATGTGACAAAGCTACAAGTTTTTCTATAAATAGGGGTCATTCCCCCACAATATTGCCTAATGCCATTTTGTGTTAAATCATTCACAAGAACTTACTAAATTGAGAGCTTGATCCTTTGTACTTGTGTAAGCCCTTCACTACTAATAAGAACTCCTCTACTCCGTGGACGTAGCCAATCTGGGTGAACCACGTACATCCTGTGTTTGCTTCTCTGTCTCTATTCATTTACGTACTTATCCTCACTAGTGACCGAAGCAACCAAGCGAAGGTCACAAAACCTGACACTTTCTGTTGTACCAAAGTCTTCGCTGATTTTGTGCATCAACATTTGGCGCCGTCTGTGGGAAACGACACTTATTCCTACTCTCTTCAGCTGTGTCAAGCTGGTTTCTATCATTCGTACACTTTCTTTTGACCAGGCATCCCTCTCCAACATGGGAAGCGAAGGAAGCCACAGCACACAGAATGACACCCCCCTTGCACATAGTGCGAAACAACGAAAGAAGGAAGGAAAACGAGTTCTTCTTCAAGCTAAAGTCGATGAGTTGGAAGCTCAGAACAACAAGATAGCAATAAGGAATGAGGTCCTCCAGGAGCAATATGAGAAGCTCTTCGAGACACTCCACGAAGCTAGGCAAGCTCAGACACGCGAGCTTGTTGCCCCCGTGGAAGTCAACCATCAACTGGGTGCCCTCCAACATGGAGGGTCACATGCATTCGACATAGATATCCCTGATAGGGAACAGATTACCCCTCGACTTGATAATCAACATGAGGCTTCTCTTAACCCAGTTGCTTCGACCCGAACCATGAGAAGTGGAGGGAGACACCTCTTTACTGAAGGGGCAGAAGGATCGAAAGCCGTCTTTCGCGATTGTCGGGATTTCCTGAAGCAACGTCGAGAGAATTCCATCCATATAAGCTCAAAGATTAATGACCCAAGGATTTCTGAGAGACTCGGTCCCCTGCCACGGCCCAAGCCGGCCACCAATTTGGGGAAGGGGCAACAAGTCCCAGAGAGACATGAGGGTACAGGGGACTCAGAGGTGTTCCGACAGACATACCCTGGAAGCCAGTACAGCGAGTCCAGGGAAAAATCACATGCCCTTGATCAAACCTTCCTAATTTCCAAGAGGAGATGGAGATTTACGAAAGAAAGCTCCAGTGACACATAACTCCGCTCAGGACCCCCTTGTCCTACAACTTCTTGAGGAAGTAAACAAGTTGAAGGCTGAACGTCAGGCTGAAATACCTGACTGGAACCAACCCAGGCCTGGCCCTCTTACAAGGAGGATCCTCAACACCCCCCTTCAAGCAAAGACAAAGCAAAAGCTTGGCTTGCAACTTTATACTGGAAAAGAGGACCCGATTGAGCACCTTAACCTCTTTGAGTCCACCATGGCATACCGGATGCACACCGACGAAGAGCGATGTCTTCTCTTCCCCTCCACCCTCTCTGGTGGAGCTCTAAATTGGTATTGTCGTCTTACACCTGAGACGGTAGACTCATTTGAGGAATTGAGGAAACTATTTGTTTCCCAACACATTTTCCAAACCGATCGCTTGCACTCTGCAGATGACTTGTACACTATCCGCCAGAAGCCAGACGAGTCATTACGTATGTATGCTGGCCGCTTCAGCCATGAATACTCCCGGTGTGCCGAGGCAGATGACAAGACTGCCCTCAAAGCCTTCACGGCAGGCCTACGTGATTGTTTCTTTAAATACATGATCAATGCCAATACTTGGAAGACTTACTCTGAGGTGATGGCGCAGGCTTATAACCATGCCTCCGCCGAGGCAAAGACATATCAGGGGAAACCTCCTACAACCATCCTTTATCAACAAGTGGGAGGTGGAAGCCAGACTCACCTAAATGAGAAGACCTCGACTTCCCAAACAGCAGTGGCACCTCCCCATGCCTTGCATAATGCTTCACCGAATCAACAGACATATCAATTTCAAGGCAAGAGGAAGGATTTCCATCCTCACCACTCTCCTTTCAGTAAAAAGAGTAAGGGACACTATCCCGATAACCAAGGGTATCGCCACAATAACGCTCGCCCCCAGGCAGTCAATGCAGTGGGTCAAAACCCGCGTCAAGATACCCCCTACCCCAAGGTATGAGACATACACGCCCTTGAATGCCACATGCGCGGCCATTTACCCCAGCATAGCTCACCTGATACCAAAACCAAAGCCGAGGCACCCAGATTACACGCCCCCGAATAACGCGGGCACGTTTTGTTGCTACCATGAGCATAACGGCCATGATAGCGAGAAATGTATCATCCTCCGTGATCGTATTGAAGCTTTGGCACGAGAAGGAAAAATTGATCAATTCCTTCTTCACCCTCAAAGGGATAACCGTAACCAACGCCAGGTGAATGTCATATATTCCATAAGCGGCGGCACACCCATATCTGAATCTTCCAATAGGGCCATGAAAAACAGTGAACGAAGTCTGAGGACTGGTCACCAAGTGTTTCACGTGGAAGACATCAGGGGAGGGAAGTATCAAAAACCTAACTGGGATCCGATATGTTTCTACCCTGAGGAAGAAAGAGGCATCATCTACCCTCATAACGACCCATTGATCGTGGAGGCTCACATAGCCAACTTTGATGTTCGACGAATCCTCGTAGACACAGGGGCTTCGGTCAATATCATGTTTGCCGAAGCTTTCAGGGCGCTCAGTGTAGCTGAACACTTGCTTGATCGCTCGATTTCTCCTCTGATAAGCTTCTCCGGTGATATCGTGCAACCCTTAGGGAGCATACATTTACCCTTTACTATTGGTACAGGCCCTTACACGGCTACCATTACCACTAACTTCCTAGTGGTTGACTGCCCAACGGCATACAATGTCATCTTTGGGCGCACAGGCATCAATGATCTCAAGGCTATGGTATCCACGCATATGCTGTTGATGAAATTTCCCAACCCCCCATGGCAACGGCTACATCAGAGGAGATCAGCTTAGTGCACGATCATGTTACAACACTTCAGTTAAGCAACAACACTTGCCCGGACCCAAGGAAACCCTGTCTGTACATGACCAAGTCACAAAGACCAGCCTAGATGAAGCGAACTTGGATCTTCCTGATAGCAACAATCAACCCGATGATCCTCGAGATGACTCTTTCACCCAGCAAGCCCAACCTGCTGAAGAGTTGGAGAAGGTACCTATCTCAAGAGATTATCCAGATCGCATGGTGAAGATTGGCACCACATTGTCACCACCCCTTCGGTTAGCATTGATATCTTTTTTGAAAGAGAACACTGAAGTCTTCGCCTGGTCATACGAGGACATGCCAGGCATCTCTCCCGATGTCATCTGTCATCGTTTGAGTATTGACCCCAAGATCAAGCCGGTGAGACAGAAGCGAAGATCTTATGACGCTGAACGATACGAGGCAATGAAAGCAGAAGTTGAAAAAACTCAAAGGCATAGGCTTTGTCCGCGAAGTCAATTACCCGACATGGGTAGCAAATGTGGTCCTTGTTAAGAAAAATCCAACCAAAGAAAGTCTTTTTGCTTCAAAAGGTCTTGTGGAGAATGTGTGTTGACTACACCGACCTAAACAAAGGGTGTCCGAAAGATAGCTTCCCTCTTCCTCTTATTGACAGACTTATAGACTCTACGGCCGGGTGTGAACTCCTGAGCTTCATGGATGCTTACTCAGGATACAACCAAATCCTCATGAACCCTTCGGATCAAGAACCACACAGCCTTCACTACCGACAGAGGACTATACTGCTATAAAGTCATGCCTTTCGGCCTAAAGAATGCAGGAGCGACTTATCAGAGACTAGTCAACTCAATGTTCGCCGAGCAGATTGGGAAGAGCATGGAAGTTTACGTTGATGATATGTTAGTCAAGAGCAAACATGCTGACCAACACATCACCAACCTATCTGAAACTTTCACTATTTTGAAGAGGTATCGAATGAGGTTAAACCCCAACAAATGTGCCTTCGGCGTAGGCTCTGGCAAATTCTTAGGTTTCATGATTAGCCAACGAGGCATTGAAGCTAATCCCGAGAAGATCAAAGCAATCCTCGACATGAAGGAACCGGTAACTTCAAAGGACATCCAGAGCCTTACTGGCAAGGTGGCAGCCTTAAACCAGGTTCATTTTCTAAGGCCACAGACAAATGTGCTCCCTTTTTTAAAGCACTTAAGGGAAGTAGGAAGTACATTACATGGACTGATGAATGTGCCGAGGCATTCAAAAACCTCAAGGAGTACATGAGTAAAGCCCCTCTACTCTCCAAGCCCGAGGTAGGAGACATTCTCATTATCTACCTATCGGTATCAGCTTCAGCCGTAAGTTTCCGTTCTCATTCGAAAGGATGGGAATATTGAGCGACCTGTCTACTACGCTAGCAAAGCCCTACAAGATGCGGAGACACGATACTCCAACATTGAGAAATTAGCTCTAGCATTGGTCATGTCTGCTCGGAAACTTCGCCCTTATTTCCAAGCACACGCCATCATCGTGCTTACCAAATCACCCTCTTCGACAGATACTCCAGAGTCCTGACACGTCTGGGCGAATGATCAAATGGGCGATAGCATTGGGTGAGTTTGACATCTCCTACCAACCAAAACCAGCCGAAAAAGGTCAAGCAGTAGCAGATTTCATTGCCGACTTCACATATCCGGTTGACATTGCTTCTACACCTGAAGCAGTGGCTTCATTACCCCCGGAAGCTCAGAAGGTAGAATCAACGACCTCAGCTTGGAGTCTGTATGTTGATGGCTCATCCAACCAATAGGGCTGTGGAGCGGGATTAGTCTTGACTACGCCCGACAAGGTAGCAATGGAGTATGCTCTTCGTTTCAAATTCAAGGCATCAAACAATGAGGCCGAGTATGAAGCCCTTCTGGCAGGATTACGTTTGGCCAAACACCTCGGGGTTAAACAAATTGATATTTTCAGTGACTCCCAATTAGTGGTCAACCAGGTTACCAACAACTTTGATGCTAAGGACAGCTCCATGGCAGCATATCTTGCGCAAACACAACTTTTTGCTCAAGCACTTCCACTACCAGAGATCACCCAAGTTCCTCGAGCGGCAAACAGTCATGCAGACGCCCTGGCTCGCCTCGCCTCAGCTGTGGAAGACAAGATTGGAAGAAAAATTCATGTCGAACTGTTGGCAACACCAAGCACCATGGCCGCAGAAGTATGCAACTTACAACAGGGGGATAGTTGGATCACCCCGATCTATAATTTCCTTGCTCATGGCACCCTCCCAAATGATAAAGTCCAGGCTAAGCAAATTCGATACAAGTCTACCCGCTACCTGATCATCAATGATCAACTCTATAAGCGAGGTTTTAGCCTGCCATACTTAAGGTGTCTTACGCCTGCCGAGGCGGAAATCGTCCTTCGGGAAATACATGAGGGAGTCTGTGGAGATCATGCTGGATCTCGGTCCCTAGCACACAAGACTTTTCGCCAAGGATATTACTGGCCAACACTCCACCAGGATGCCATCAAAGTATCCCGCTCATGTGACAAATGTCAACGATATGCAACTATTCCTCATTCCCCTCCAGAGCCTCTTACTCCTATGATCAGCCCTTGGCCCTTCGCCCAGTGGGGACTTGATTTTGATCGGCCCAATGCCGGCAGGGAAGGGCAAAGTCTGTTACGCAGTCGTTGCAGTGGACTACTTCACAAAGTGGGCCGAAGTAGAACCCTTGGCAACCATTACTGAGGCAAAGATAGAAGACTTTGTGTGGAAGAACATCCTTTGTAGATTCGGCATTCCCAATGCGATAGTCACTGACAATGGGCGACAGTTTGACAACAAGAAGTTCAGGTTGTTCTGCTCTAAGTTCAACATCAACTTATGCTTTGCCTCTCCAGCTCATCCCCAGTCTAATGGACAAGTTGAAGCCATCAACAAAATAATCAAGCGCACTTTGAAAACCAGCTTGGACAAAGCTAAAGGCTGTTGGCCAGAATTTGTACCCCAAGTTCTTTGGTCATATCGCACTTCATATCGGACTTCAACAGGAGAAAACTCCATTCTCACTTGCCTTTGGCACAGAGGCGGTTGTCCCTGTTGAGCTCGAGCAAGCAACATTCCGAGTCCAGAACTACATTCAAAGTGAAAATGACAAACAACTCACCCTCAACTTGGATTTAGTCGAGGAACACAGAAACCAAGCTCACTTGAGGAATGTCGCCTACAAGCAGCGCATCTCCAACTATTATGACTCTAGGGTCAAGCTTCGTTCTTTCAAAATAGGAGACTGGGTCTTAAAGAAAAGATTACTCTGCGACAGAGTCCCGAGTGAAGGCACACTTAGTCCAAACTGGGATGGACCGTATGAAGTCATTGGCATCAGTCGCCCTGGCTCTTACACACTTAGAAGCTCCGATGGCAAGACCCTTGGCCATCCATGGAACGCTGATCACTTGAAGTACTACTACAAATAGACTCACGATGTACAAGTGTTGAGCTATAGCCGTTCGGCATCCTATGTAATGAAGGCTATTTGGCAATGAATTCAATAAAGAGGTAATTTAGCCAACTCAGCCCTCACTCTTTTACATTCCTAGCAAGGGAACACTCAAGTGTTGAAACCTCAAAGCAGATATATCCAACACGAAACAAAATCTAAGTATGTGTCGACAAGACTATACAAAGAAAGGAACAACCAAACAATGGCTTATATCCAAACAATAGATCTATTCATACATAGCCAAACATGCATTAATAATAGTGCAAACACTCATAAACACCTTAAATCCAAAACTCTCAAGCTTATAACATGGGCACATGTTATACACACATCAGACTACTACATCCAGAATACATGCAGATAGTAAAGACACTGCTATTCATTCTCATCTGAAGCCGAACCCCTGGCAGTATCATTCCGCGTCCTACCATCATCCTCTGCATCCCCAAGATCCTCTTCACCATGCTGAGTCTGTGCATCAGCACTACCTTCATTATCAGACTCATCTTCGCTGCTAGGATCAACAGCAAGGACAAATGTCTCGCCCTTTCGATGATGCTCATCTATATCTTCGTGGTATTTTCGAAGAATGCTCCCATCATCATAACGATCAAGGACGGCCATCCATTTCCTTTTTTTCAAAGCGAGCTTCTTGAGCACAGTAGGGTTTAATAGCAAGATGAAAAGGTCGAAGAACTTAAGTATTCTTGCACAGCAGCCTCCCTTTCAGTTGGAATGCTCTTCTCCAGTTCAGAAATCTCAACTAAGGCACCATCCAATTCTCCCTTAACCTTGGATACTTCCAAGGTAGCCACCTCCAACTGTTTTTTTAGTTGCCTCAAACAATTTCTTAAGCCTTAGGTTCTCACCATTTCGCCTTTTCAAGCTCTCCATGGTTTCATCCTTCAGTTGGAGAGCCTGAGTCAAAAGTCCCTTATTTCCTTCGGGCCTCGTCCACAAGCTGCTTATTCTCCTTCAGTTTTGCCTTGTACCGCTCAACCTCTTGCAGTCTGTCGTGATACTCGGCCATGACCTGCATGGCAAGACGATCATCACTACCTAAATAATGATAATAAAGAGGAAAAAGTAAGGAAATGACAAAGTAACACTCACATATGAAGACAGCTTCAACATCCGGTCGCAATCCGATTCATCCTTAGCTAAGGGCTCTCCGAGCTCATCGAAGGCGAATCGACGCCCTGCCAAGCAATTGTTGATATCCCCAAAATCCTTTGGCCGCGTGGCAACCCTCAAGTCCTTCCACGGGACACTGCCAGCTCTTTCCTTGCCTTTCCCCTCATGGCGGGAACCAGGATCACTTTCCTGGACAGTGTGCTCCATAGTAAGAGGATGAGGCAACAGTCGGCTCCCTTCTCCTACAACTACGGCAGTAGCATCATCAACGGTCTTGACTCCAGTCTTCCTAAAGGCAGGCCCCTTAAGGACCCCATCTTGGGACTTAGGTCTAACGGATGGTTCCCCTCGGAACTTATGAATTTTCTTATGCGGTAGGATGTCTTCCGAAGGAACTAACACTGGTGCTTTCCTTTTATGGGTGCTAGTCCCTGTTTTCTTGCTTACCTTCTCCACTGCATAAGGAAAATCAAAATAAGAAATACAACTTTCCAAATAAAGTAAGGAATTGAGCTAAGTTTACATGAAGGATACAACTTACTCGATCGTCCCTGGCTCTCGGAAACTAAGGGTTGAAAACCGTACCGACGAAATAAGGGTCGTAGCTTGCTTAAGTGTCTATCCTCTTTGGGCACCCTCAACACCTTCTCTATGTCAGATAGCTCTTGCCCAAACAGTTGGATGGTGCCCCGCGTCACTACATGAAGCAAAGTGTTAGAAGCAAGAAAAGACCACAACAAATAGCAAATAGTACGAACGGTTGATACGTTACAACCTACAGTCTGGAAGTGAGTAAGCACACGTCGCTCAGGCGTGACACCCTTATCATACTCCCAATCATTATACAGAAAGCACCAACGGTTTTTCCATGTGTAGTATGCCTTTTTCTTACCATACACAATACGCTCTCTCTCACTCCGACATGCACACTCGGCATAACCAGTGCATGATTTTGCTGGGCGCATCTTGTAACAGTAACGCCACTGATGGAAGGAAGGCTCACACAACCCACACTCCATCCAAATGATATAAAATCCAATCAAAGTATCCCAGAAAACCAGGATTGAGTTGCCCAGGTGCATATCCGATCAAAGATAACATCTTTTGCAACCACGGATGTAAAGGTAGTCTCACCCCTAAAGTCAGTAATATCTGGGTGTAGAACATAACATGACCCTGGGGAGGCTCAGAAGGCCATTCTTCATCATGTACCAAACGTATCCCTACACTACGAGGGATATTACATGACTGCCTTAGCGCCTCAACCTGCTTCTCATTATCTAACAAGTTATTCTTTAGATGGTCTGCTGTGAACTCAGAGCGAACTATGGGTATGGCATCAAAAACAACCCCCTTCACCCAACGCCATGGAGGAAGAACTAGCAATAGCTAAAGTTTGACGGTTGGGAAGATCATCCAATGTTTCTCTAGTACCGGACTCTAACAAAGACCCTGAAGACTCCGACATTGCAGACTCAGACTTAGAGCTAAAGCTAGAAGAGCCCTCATCACTAGAACTTCCAGGCTCTGACATCTACAATAAGAAGAAACAAATTCTATCACTACATGCATGATCAAAACATAAGGAAGTTCCTATATTACCCACATGAAGATGGTGCAAAGCGATGCCGGAACCCTTCTCAATCAGAAAGCAATCCGTCTTCCACAGTCACTACAAAACAAGCAAATGAAGACCGTGTCAAGCGCCAAAAAAAAAAAAAAAAAAAAAAAAAAAAAAAAAAAAACAGCTTCATCCAAAAAAAGCTTCACCCAAAAAAGCTTCACCCACAAAGCTTCACCCAAAAAAAGCTTCACCCGAAAAGCTTCACCTCCAAAGCTTCACCCACAAAGCTTCACCTCAAAAGCTTCACCCACAAAGTTTCACCCAAAAAAGCTTCACCCACAAAGCTTCACCCAAAAAAAGCTTCACCCGAAAAGCTTCACCTCCAAAGCTTCACCCACAAAGCTTCACCCAAAAAAGCTTCACCCACAAAGCTTCAAAAAAAGCTTCACCCAAAAGCTTCACCTCAAAAGCTTCACCCACAAAGCTTCACCCAAAAAAAGCTTCACCCACAAAGCTTCACCAAAAAAAGCTTCACCCGAAAAGCTTCACCTCAAAAGCTTCACCCACAAAGCTTCACCCAAAAAAGCTTCACCCACAAAGCTTCACCCAAAAAAAGCTTCACCCGAAAAGCTTCACCTCCAAAGCTTCACCCACAAAGCTTCACCTAAAAAGCTTCACCTACAAAGCTTCACCTAAAAAAGCTTCACCTAGAAAGCTTCATCTACAAAGCTTCATCTACAAAGCTTCACCATCAAAGCTTCACCTAGAAAGCTTCAACACCAAAGCTTCACCTACAAAGCTTCAACACAAAACCTTGCTCCAAATAAACAAATTTTGTTCACACAACCTAAACATTTTTTGTTTTACACCCACAAGGGCCCAAAATCTTCCTTCTTATTTATTCACTTATATATGTTCCCAAACATATTATGATAGATCAAATAATAATTCAAAGTCCAAAATTTAGTTATGGACAAAAATACAAGCAATTCACCAGTACTGAAGTTGCTACAAAAACTGGAATCTTCCCCAGCCTAGAAATCCAACAAAGCTTCGCCTCCTTTTCCCTATCAAATTTTTGCAGCTGCTGCTTCTCTCCAATGGAGCTGAATTTTGGACACCCTCTAGTTCTTGAGCAGATGAACAACTTTCAAGAAGGAACCATTTCTGTTTGAGCCACGGAAATTAAAGTGTTGAAGCTCCAAGCATGACAGTCGGATTCTTGCAGATTTCGAAGCTGCTGTGATGTTTCGAAGATCTGGAAATATTTAACCATTAGTTCATTCTGAATTTTTGATATGTTATGAAAGAGACGATGAGGAACAACTTCAATGAAGAAAGCATGCTGATCTGAACAATAGAAAATAGAGTTTCAAAGCTCACAACAAATCTGACGGGTTGACAGAAAAATAATAACCAGTCATTCATCATACCTGAATTTCTTGAGTTATACAGCTCCGAGGGATCTCAAATTTGGATATGTTGTAGTTCACAAGCTGAGGAACAACTTCAATGAAGAAAGCATGCTGATCTGAGCAAGAGCAAATAGAGTTTCAAAGCTCACAACAAATCTGACGGGTTGACAGAAAAATAATAACCAGTCACTCATCATACCTGGATTTCTGGAGTTATACTGCTCCGAGGGACCTCAAATTTGGATATGTTGTAGTTCACAAGTTAAGGAACAACTTCGATGAAGAAAGTATGTTGATCTGAGCAAGAGAAAATGGAGTTTTTGAAGCTCACAACAAGTCTGACGCGTTGATATACAAATGACGAACAATCACTCATCATACCTGAATTTCTGGAGTTGTACTGCTCCGATGGATCTCCAATTCGGATATGTTGTAGTTCACGAGCTAAGGAACAACTTTCATGAAGATGGTTTTGCGATCTGAGCCACAGAAAATGATGTTATATTGAAGAAAAGCTAAAGGAAGACTAAAGCAAAGCAAAAGAGAAGCTAAAGGAAGACAAAATCATGGCACATGATAATGAGTCATACCCTACCCCTCATTCAGCTCCATTCGAATACACCCATGTAAATGACACAAGAAAAAGGGAGGGAGTAAAAAATAAAAAATAAAAAAAAATAAAATAAAATTAAAAAAAAAAAAAAAAAAGTTCCTAGGCCTCCACTTCTTTGGGCCTAACACATCTTCATAACAAAAAACAATATATGAAGAAAGAGCCCTGGGTTACCACTTCGAAAAGAAACAAGTGAAGTTTTCCTACTCATGACATTGACTACTAGCTAGACACCTCATTCGGCAACTCTCTTCGCCTGAAGACTTGGGGGACTCCCACCATATGCTACTGCACCTTGATACTCGGCAGTCTCACAACCACTCAGTGACTTGGATTTTTCAAGTCTCCAACCGAGAAGTTTTCCTCACTCGGGAAATTAAGGGAACACTACCTCAAACTACATGCTCCACTCACAAAGCTTCAACAATACAGGTTTCAACAAAAGCAAAAAATTCAAAGAACTTTATGAAAAAGGCTTTGGTGTATTTAACACAATATGTTGAAATGAAGCAAAGCTTATTTATTAATATTTTCGATAAGCCACAAATATGTACATATACATGAGTCAAAATAAACAAACAAAAGGGAGCCTTCACAAAGGTTGCTTAGGGGAAGTCTCAGCAGTCGGTAGAGCCCCAGAAAGAGAAAGCACCGGAGGGTGGTTATCCGGAGCCTCGGTACTTGACAAAACCCCAGAAGGAGGAGGCATTGGAGGTTCATCATTTGAAGCTTCATTACCAGGTACAGCCCCAGAGGACGAAGGCAATAAATGCCTTTGGAACAAACCCACAAACCGCTGATGATCAAGTAAAACCTTACCATCAGATTCCTTCATCTGGTCAAGCTTCCTCTTCATGTTTGTAGCATAGTCATGGGCGAGCCGGTGCAACTGCTTATTCTCATGCTTGAGCCCTCTAATCTCCTGTTTGAGACTTATCACTTCAGCAGCCAATGATTCAACTTGGCGGGTTCTAGCAAATAGGCGTTGGGCCATATTAGACACAGAACCTGCACACTGAACACTAAGAGCCAGAGAGTCCTTAACAGCCAACTCATCAGACCGTTTGGAAAGTAGTCTGTTATCTTTGGGAGTGAGAAGGTTCCTGGCCACCACTGCAGCGGTCATATCATTCTTCATCACAGAATCCCCAACGGTAAGAGGACCAGTAGGGGATATGAAGGATGGGCGCCATATGTTGTCTGGAGAAGGCGTGGCTGTCTCTTCTCCAAGGTTCAAGTCAAAACGACGGTCGGAGGGTCCAGACATTTTTCAAATGTGTTGAAGAAGGAAGAGGTCAGACAAATCAAGATCTTAGAAGTGCAAGAAATGAGCTTCTACTGGTAGAGATTCAAGTGTGCTGTGGAACTTAATGCCAGCCTCTATAAAAATCTGCACTCGACGGAGCTTCAGAAATCGAAGAGGCGTTTGCTTTTCTCAAAAGCTGGGCTGCTCAGAGACCACGAGGGCCGATCTCAGAAATCGAAGAAGCACCTGCTTTTGCAGCCTCGTCAGCACCTGTCACATGCACAATCAGCTTTGCGGAAATTACGGGCAATCTGTCGAAGATTTCTGGTGAAGCAGAAAGCACGTGAATCTTACTGATCAATCACCGCTCTCCATATGCACCATCAACTCCTCGGGTACCACATATAACTTTGTCAAAGATCTCTGACAAAGTTTAGGCACGAGAATTTCGAAGTGCCAGCTACCCTACTATTACCCATAAGGGTAAAGGAACAGCACCACTGCTTGACAACTGGAAAGTCCCTATGTGTGTCGACCTCCGTGTTTTGTGGCAAGACAGGTTGGCAAGAACGACCAACCTTTACTCACATTCGAGAAAAGACTCCCAACATAATTACTTTCTCAAAAACCGGAGTAGCACCGCTTTCCGAATCTCGAGAGTCAGATCCTCGACGGGATTGCTTGTTCGAAAACCGAAGAGGCACAACTCTCAGAACTTCGAGAGCCAGATTTCCTTAGATAAAGCTTGTCTGTAATCTCCACACGTAATATCAGCTTTCCAGATACCACATACCACTTTTTCAAAGTGCTCTGACAAAATTAAAACACGTGAAGCTGGCAGCTCCCACTACATTGCTGTGACCAAGAAGGGTAAAGGAATAGCATTACTACTTGTTATTGGGAAATCCCTATATACATTGACCTCCCTCCTCAACGGACAGGCAAACCTGCAAAAATGCTCAACCCTTTCTCTCACATTCGAAAAGGCACCCTCAACATAACCTCTCGAAATACTCAGCTTTATTTCCCCCCGATAATACCTCAGCAAATAAGCCACACCAAGAACAAGAGTATCTCATATCATCAGGGTCGAAAGCAAGAGTATCCCATATCATGCTTTCTCCCTGTCTTTGTCTTTGTCCTTATCCACACCTGCAGGACAAGGAGAAAGAGAGCAGTCAGTCGGAACCTGAAATCAAACCTCCAATTTGGAACTGACTGCATGGAGCCTTTGCCTGGTTGCT